CACAACTGTGAGTCAGCCACAACAGTGAGTCAGCCACAACTGTGAGTCAGCCACAACTGTGAGTCAGCCACAACTGTGAGTCAGCCACAACTCACCAACACAACACAATATATAATTAGTTAAGACACGTGTGTAATACTTAGCAATATTTACTGTGGAAACGTTTTACCACACAGTGACTTCATCAGTCCGACACAGAGAGAGGACTGAGGGTCAGATGGTGTTTGAGGTAATCAGTCCCTCAGTCTGGAGTCGCTGGAAACAGTCCAAGATTGATGGACTGATCGACTCCAGGCTGAGGAAGTTGCTGATTGGCGAAACGATTGGCGAAACGATTCCACAGTAAAATTACCCAATAGTTGCACAAGTCTCTAATTCATCAAAAAAAAAAAAAATATATTATAGTCTCAAAATCGTATTTCCATTATATTCGTAGTTTCCAATAATTTTGGAAAAAAAAAATCGTAATTTTTTTTAAAAACTCCAGAAAAAAAATATTTTCGAAAATAAATTTGATTTCCCCAGGAAGGAATTTTTCACTAAGTTCCTGGAACAGAAAAAATGAAAATTGGAGTACAAAGCAATAGAAATATATTTAATATTAAAATGTTTAGTAATATATGTAGTATATGGATCACAGACTGGGGGGGGGAGGGTTGAACTGACGCAGGGTTCACCTGGGACTGGAACACCAACTAGGGGCTCACCCGGGACTGGAACACCAACTAGGGGCTCACTTGGGACTGGAACACCAACTAGGGGCTCACCCGGGACTGGAACACCAACTAGGGGCTCACCCGGGACTGGAACACCAACTAGGGGCTCACCCGGGACTGGAACACCAACTAGGGGCTCACCCGGGACTGGAACACCAACTAGGGGCTCACCCGGGACTGGAACACCAACTAGGGGCTCACCCGGGACTGGAACACCAACTAGGGGCTCACCCGGGACTGGAACACCAACTAGGGGCTCACCGGGACTGGAACACCAACTAGGGGCTCACCCGGGACTGGAACACCAACTAGGGGCTCACCCGGGACTGGAACACCAACTAGGGGCTCACCCGGGACTGGAACACCAACTAGGGGCTCACCCGGGACTGGAACACCAACTAGGGGCTCACCCGGGACTGGAACACCAACTAGGGGCTCACCGGGACTGGAACACCAACTAGGGGCTCACCCGGGACTGGAACACCAACTAGGGGCTCACCCGGGACTGGAACACCAACTAGGGGCTCACCCGGGACTGGAACACCAACTAGGGGCTCACCCGGGACTGGAACACCAACTAGGGGCTCACCCGGGACTGGAACACCAACTAGGGGCTCACGCGGGACTGGAACACCAACTAGGGGCTCACCCGGGACTGGAACACCAACTAGGGGCTCACCGGGACTGGAACACCAACTAGGGGCTCACCCGGGACTGGAACACCAACTAGGGGCTCACCCGGGACTGGAACACCAACTAGGGGCTCACTTGGGACTGGAACACCAACTAGGGGCTCACCCGGGACTGGAACACCAACTAGGGGCTCACTTGGGACTGGAACACCAACTAGGGGCTCACTTGGGACTGGAACACCAACTAGGGGCTCACCCGGGACTGGAACACCAACTAGGGGCTCACTTGGGACTGGAACACCAACTAGGGGCTCACCCGGGACTGGAACACCAACTAGTGGCTCACATGGGACTGGAACACCAACTAGGGGTTCACCTGGGACTGGAACACCAACTAGGGGCTCACTTGGGACTGGAACGCCAACTAGGGGCTCACCTAGGGTTGGAACACCTACTAGGGGCTTAACTGGGGCTGGAACACCTACTAGGGGCTCCCCTGGGGCTGGAACACGTACTAGGGGCTCAAGTGGGGCTGGAACACCTACTAGGAGCTCACCTAGGGTTGGAACACCTACTAGGGGCTCAACTGGGGCTGGAACACCTACTAGGAGATCACCCGGGGTTGGAACACCTACTAAGTGCTGAACTGGGGCTGGAACGCCTACTAGAGGCTCCCCTGGGGCTGGAACACGTACTAGGGGCTCAACTGGGACTGGAACACCTACTAGGAGCTCACCTAGGGTTGGAACACCTACTAGGGGCTCAACTGGGGCTGGAACACCTACTAGGAGCTCACCCGGGGTCGGAACACCTACTAGGGGCTAAACTGGGGCTGGAACACCTACTAGAGGCTCACCTGGGGCTGGAACACCTACTAGGGGCTAAACTGGGGCTGGAACACCTACTAGGAGCTCACCTAGGGTTGGAACACCTACTAGGGGCTCAACTGGGGCTGGACCACCTACTAGGAGCTCACCCGGGGTTGGAACACCTACTAGGGGCTCAACTGGGGCTGGAACACCTACTAGGGGCTCAACTGGGGCTGGAACACCTACTAGGAGCTCACCTAGGGTTGGAACACCTACTAGGGGCTCACCTGGGACTGGAACACCTATTAGGAGCTCACCTGGGACTGGAACACCTCCTGCTCAGCATACACTCGCTGGATCTGGTCGTCCCAGGCAGCGTCGAACACACCTCTCAGTTCCTCCATCTCGTCAGTGTAGGCGCGGAACTCCTCCTCGAGCGCGGCGCACTCCCTGACGATCTCCTCGACCCTTCCGCGCCGCGTCAGACACCGACGCAGCGTCACATCGCGGTGCAGCTCCTGGGCCTCCTCTTTTAGCCTGGTGAACTTACCGGTTAATTCTTGCTGTTGTGGACAAGAAAAAACGTCGGTAAGTTCACCACATTTCGAGACAAAAGTGCAGCATTAATGTTACGTAAAGATTTTTGATGGAATTCTGACAAGAGTTGATTTTCTACATTAAGCGAATTTAATTCCGAGAATACATAAATAACCCGCACGCTGAAAGCAGTTTATGAAGACGTTTCGGTCCGACTAGGTCCCATAATGATTTAAGTTAGACCGAAACGTCGCCGTAAGTTTCGTTCTATGTGTGGGTTATTTATGTATTGTTCCAGTCATTCTCAAACCCATCCCCACCAGTAAAATATTTTCACTGCTACTCAGAGAATAAACCTTGATAACCCTATTAACTCAAGTGCATGTCCCACTCAAATCCAAGCCCTCTCACTCCCACTCAAATCCAAGCCCTCTCACTCCCACTCAAATCCAAGCCCTCTCACTCCCACTCAAATCCAAGCCCTCTCACTCCCACTCAAATCCAAGCCCTCTCACTCCCACTCAAATCCAAGCCCTCTCACTCCCACTCAAATCCAAGCCCATTCACTTCCACTCAAATCCAAGCCAACTTCCACTCAAATCCAAGCCCTCTCACTCCAACTTGAATCCAAGCCCTCTCACTCGCGTATTTATTTAACTTATATTTGAAGCTACCCAAGGTTTTAGCTTCTACAACTGCACTAGGTACACTGTTTCACTCATTGACTGCTACTGTATATCGAAACTAATACTTTCCTATACCCTTTCTAAATCTAAACTTATTATAGTTGCTGACGTAATGACAGCAGCGGTCAAGTGCTGACTGTTGACACTGGCAAAAACAACACAAAATTGAAGAGGAGGCCAGAGACTTACCCTAAATTTATTGTCGTGCGTCTTGCAGTGTTCAGCGAAGGGTCCTCCACTCTCCAGGATCTTAAGCTTGGCTGCCGACAGTGAGCGTCGGGAGCCAGGTATCGCGAACGACGCCGGACCCATGGCTGACGCCGCTGACGGGGGTCGTGACGCGCAACCACCCTCTGACGACTGCTTTTCGCTGCACCCAGACGACCCTGAGGTAGTGTGCGAGTCGTCAACACACGTCTGCTGTGTGTGTGTGTGTGCATAGCTATTAAGTGTAAATGTATACTTAGTAATTTGTGTACGTGTAAGTGTACACATCTAGTAACAGCTGTATGTGTACATAACTTTTAAGAAGTGTTTACATGTGCATATTAGGAAGGAGTATGCATTTGCAGATTGCATATTATTATTATTACATTCATGATGGAGCGATAAACCCCTAGGGGTTATGCAGCGTCTGGAGGAATGAGAGTAAATCAAGTTCGATCTACGGTGCTGGACACCTGGTGTAGAACCCCGGCACACCTGGTGTAGAACCCCTGCACACCTGGTGTAAAACCCCGGCACACCTGGTGTAATTACACGCAGGTGTAACAACGTCACTACATCCCACACATCTGTTAATGTCTGTCAACTCTGGTCCTTCCTCCCTCTCCTTCTCCCTCCCCCTTCCTCTCCCTCTCCTCCCTCCTCTCTGACGTAGTCATATAATTCTTAATTTTGGTGGAAAAAACGTGAATTCTCTAGAATCTTCAAAACAACTCTAAAAAAAAAAAGTGAAAATACTGAGAAATTGTTTGACTTTTTTGGTCATGTCGAGTTAAATCTTCATGATGTCCTTCATGTATGGCCATGAGCTGTGGCCATGAGCTGTGGCCATGAGATGTGGCCATGAGCTGTGGCCATGAGCTGTGGCCATGAGCTGTGGGGGTTCTCATGGTCATTGGAAGACGATCCTATGTTAGGTCTCTTAAGCTGGTACACAAAACTGACTCGCTGCTATCTTGCTCCTCTCTCATCCATTTTTCGCCCTTCTCTCGTCCCTATCTCACCCCTCTTTTTCATTCCTCTCTTATCCATCTTCTCCCTCTTTCTAATCCCTCACTCGTCCTTCTCACTCGTCCCTCAAATGAGCCAGCCCCCCACCCCCCACCATGGCCATGATGCATACAGAGTAGCGTGAGTGGCTCTACTCTCCCTCACCTTGCTCAAACATGAAGCAAGAGGAGCGTAGGCACTTACTTCCCCCATTCCTATGCCTCTCCTCACATCTGCACGAGGACACGATCATAGGCACCCCTCCAACTTCCCCTTTCAGACGTACCTGAGGGCATGGTGAGGGGCTCCCCTCCTCTGCCCTTTCCCACGCTAGAGAGCAGGGGCTCTAGACTCCGGGAGAACTCGCTCTTAAAGCTGCTACGGACTTGACTGCTCTGCGCTGGCCTGGGGAAAGAGCTTGGGGTGAAAAGATACATTACTTTGTGGCATGAGTATGTGTGTAGGCACGCTGCAGCTGTTGCTTTGTCAGTAGCATTCCTCGGGTAGGGTGTGTGTGTGTGTGTGTGTGTGTGTGTGTGTGTGTGTGTGTGTGTGTGTGTGTGTGTGTGTGTGTGTGTGTGTGTGTGTGTGTGTGTGTGTGTGTTTTCTAGCTTATACAAAGAACCTGATTCTGAAATTATCTCTGCAATATATATCTTAAACTCGAAATATATACGATAATGTACAAATGTTACTGTGTATTACACACGACTTTACATTGTTAATTACCAAAAAATTTCATATATATATATATATATATTATATATATATATATATATATATATATATATATATATATATTATATATATTACACACACACACACACACACACACACACACACACACACACACACACACACACACACACTTCACTGTATACACTTGCTGGGTTACATACATCAAAGGTAGCAAAGAGTATCTTTCTTTAAGTATATTTTCCTGGTGGTATTATCATCAGCGTCTCGGTGAACATCCTCACCATCATCAGTAATGTTCGTAGAAAACAATCGTAATGAATGAGAATTTAAAAAATGAATGAAAATACAATTAGTGATATTGAAAGATTAAACAAAATGAAGGTTAAGGAAACATGACAGTGAGGAGTTCATGTTGAGTCTGACATGACTGACATGCCAGTGAGGAGTGTATGTTGAGCATGACATGACTGACATGCCAGTGAGGAGTGTATGAGCATGACATGACTGACATGCCAGTGAAGAATATGCTGAGAATGACATGACTGACATGCCAGTGAAAAGTATGGTGAGAATGACGTGACTGACATGGCAGTGAAGCGTGTATGCTGAGACTGACATGACTGAAATAGTTACTATCATACACAACATGACAATTACTGACCATCATGCACAACATGATGTAGTGGAGGCAGGAACCATACATAGCTTTATTACAAGGTATGATAAAGCTTAGGGAGCAGAGAGTGGACCTAGTAGCGATCAGTGAAGAGGCGGGGACAGGAGCTGAGTCTCGACCCCTGTAACCACAATTAGGTGAGTACAACATAACTGACAGTTACTGACCATCATACACAACCTAACTGACAGTTACTGACCATCACACACAACATAACTGACAGTTACTGACCATCACACACAACCTAACTGACAGTTACTGACCATCACACACAACATAACTGACAGTTACTGACCATCAAAACACAACCTAACTGACAGTTACTGACCATCACCACACAACATAACTGACAGTTACTGACCATCATACACAAACCTAACTGACAGTTACTGACCATCACACACAACATAACTGACAGTTACTGACCATCACACACAACATAAACTGACAGTTACTGACCATCATACAAAAACATAACTGACAGTTACTGACCATCACACACAACATAACTGACAGTTACTGACCATCATACACAACCTAACTGACAGTTACTGACCATCACACACAACATAACTGACAGTTACTGACCATCACACACAACATAACTGACAGTTACTGACCATCACACACAACATAACTGACAGTTACTGACCATCATACACAACCTAACTGACAGTTACTGACCATCACACACAACATAACTGACAGTTACTGACCATCACACACAACATAACTGACAGTTACTGACCATCACACACAACATAACTGACAGTTACTGACCATCATACACAACATAACTGACAGTTACTGACCATCATACACAACATAACTGACAGTTACTGACCATCATACACAACCTAACTGACAGTTACTGACCATCACACACTATACTAGACTAACAAGGAACTAACATACAACTAAGAAACTAAAAATATCCCAACATCAATAATCCGGCTTAACATTTCATATTTACAAACTCAGTCTCAAGTTACTTAACACTGAAGAGCTCGAGAAAGTTTAAATCAAGTAAATTCTGTTGTATAGCTAAAATTTTTAAATGTTCTTGTCCGTCGTGTGATTGTTTTCACGGTGACTGTGTAAGTACCACATGTCTCAGTCAGGCTGGATGGCCAAGACTCGTGTGTGTCGATTCTCTGTGCTTGGAGATTCTGGCTTTGAAATTTCGGAGTCTCTATCTTGTCATGGGATCTGCTGAAGAGGATCCCAGAAGGGGGGTCGAAATATACAGATCACTCAACCTCCTGTGTTTCTGTTTTCATGTGGGTTATTGAGCTCTGGCAAGTGTTCATTATACTTGTTAGTATTACGGTATTGACTGGCTCACTACATGTGTGCAAATAAGATATGCGAGAAGATCAGCATAAACTGTTGATGACCCACCAACATGCACTGTTAATGACCCACCAACATGCACTGTTAATGACCCACCAACATGCACTGTTGATGGCCCACCAACATACACTGTTAATGACCCACCAACATGCACTGTTAACGACCCACCAACATGCACTGTTAATGACCAACCAACATGCACTGTTGATGACCTACCAACATGCACTGTTGATGACCCACCAACATGCACTGTTAATGACCCACCAACATACACTGTTAATGACCCACCAACATGCACTGTTAATGACCCACCAACATGCACTGTTGATGACCCACCAACATGCACTGTTGATGACCCACCAACATGCACTGTTAATGACCCACCAACATGCACTGTTAATGACCCACCAACATGCACTGTTGATGGCCCACCAACATGCACTGTTGATGACCCACCAACATACACTGTTGATGACGCACCAACATGCACTGTTGATGACCCACCAACATGCACTATTGATGATCCACCAACATGCACTGTTGATGACCCACTAACATACACTGCTGACGACTCACCAACATACACTGCTGACGACTCACCAACATACACCGTTGATGGGCCACCAACATACACTGTTGATGACCCACCAACATACACTGCTGACGACTCACCAACATACACTGCTGACGACTCACCAACATACACCGTTGATGGGCCACCAACATACACTGTTGATGACCCACCAACATACACTGTTGATGACCCACCAACATACACTGTTGATGACCCACCAACATACACTGTTGATGACCCACCAACATACACCGTTGATGGCCCACCAACATACACCGTTGATGGCCCAACATACACTGTTGATGACCCACCAACATACACCGTTGATGGCCCAGCAACATACACTGTTGATGACCCACCAACATACACCGTTGATGGCCCACCAACATACACCGTTGATGGCCCACCAACATACACCGTTGATGGCCCACCAACATACACTGTTGATGACCCACCAACATACACCGTTGATGGCCCACCAACATACACTGTTGATGACCCACCAACATACACTGTTGATGACCCACCAACATACACTGTTGATGACCCACCAACATACACTGTTGATGACCCACCAACATACACTATTGATGTCTCATCAGTATACGCCAAACACATTTTCTAGATTCGCTCTACATCGTTTAAAAAATACTATAAAACTTTAATATATGTAACTCTGTGTTCAGTTTGCCGTCACACTGAAAATATATTTAGATTTTTCCGCCGAAGTGGCTAGTTTATTGTGCACGTCACATCCATCCTCTGAAGGGCAGCACAACACCATATGGATACATAAAAGGGTTAGGAACAAGGCTCCAAAATGGTTTTGCAAGAGTACATCTGGATTTATATCTACTTTCGACCGTGTCCTGGTCGTTGAATCTCTCGCTTCACACGGCGAGTGTCTGTGTTCGATTCCCAGCGTGGGTAGAAATATTATTCGTGTTTCTTTATACCGGTTGTCTACGTTCACCTATCATTAAAATGGGTAAGTAAGTAAGTAAGTTTATTCAGGTATACACAAATACAGTTACATAGAATTATCATACATAGCAGCATATGTGTAGAGAACCTGGGATAACCCAAAAAAGTCAGAGTGACTTATTTCCATTGGGGTCGACTGGTGTGGGTCACATCCTGGGACAAGGACCTAATTTGTGCAAAATGCTCTAAATAACAAGGGGCTTTCTCTATAGCAGTATGTCACTGATGTCAGCTAGGACTGTATACATAGTTTTAAGACGAGGTATGATAAAGCTCATGGGGCAGGGAGAGAGAGGACCTAGTAGTAATCAGCAAAGAGGCGGGGCCAGGAGCTATGACTCGACCCCTGCAACCACAAATAGGTGAGTACAAATAGGTGAGTACATTGTACATGTACTGTACATGTATCTGTTGCAAGCAATTTTAGGAAATTTGGTTAATATGTCTGGTATTTTATTTTCATTAATAAGATATGTTGACATGTCACATAGGTCGTTATACTACTTCTGTATTTCTCAATAAGTGGAACATACAGGAGGAGAATGAAATAGTTTATAACCAAACTACCTAGTGTTTTGAGGCATCTGTAGCTGAGTGGATTAAGAGGTCATCAAGACAGCTGAGCCACACTCATGGACACCAACAAACGTGGGTTCGAATCCTGCTGACGCATTGATTATATATATTTATTTTATTAACAAATCGACCGTTTCCCATCGTTGTTCAGCCAGAGGCGCTAACACTACACACCTCTCCTTCTCGACCATATTTTGACTTTATATTTGATCACATCTCTAAATCTCTCTCTGCATTCAAACTAATTTTTGGAAAACAATGAATATCTTTTGAACGCTATGCTTTTGTTAATTTATGTTAGATAATAATTAAATGAACATCGGTAAAAAGAAGTCTGTCATGTCACCCCCAACTTATTCACCAACATACCACACCTGAACTACGAGGTACCAACATACCACACCTGAACTACGAGGTACCAACATACCACACCTGCACTGAAACGTACAAACATACTACACCTGAACTAGGAGGTACCAACATACCACACCTGCACTGGAAGGTACATACTATACCTGAACTACGAGGTACCAACATACCACA